GTGAGACTCCAACTCAAAAAAAAAAAAAAAAAAAATTATATACAAAAATGGAAGTTTAAGCTACATGAAGCAAAATAAAGGTAACCCTGACTGTCACAGTGGTGAGGCCTGGTTGTTCAAATTGGGAAATCATTTTGGTTCAGAAACAGAGAGATAGAGAAGGGAAGAGGCTGAAGAAACTATAGAGTGTAGGCTGGGCATGGTGGTTCACACCTGTGATCCCAACATTTTGAGAGGCAGAGGTGAGAGGATTGCCTGAGACCAACCTGGACAACTTGGCAAGACCTCATCTCTACAATAAATCAAAAAATTAGCCAGGCATGGTGGTACACACCTATAGTTCCAGATACTTGAAAGGCTGAGGTGGAAGGATTGCCTGAACACCGCAGGTCAAGGCTGCAGTAGTCAAGATACCACTGCACTCCTGTCTGGGCAATAGAGTAAGACTCTGACTCAAAAAAAGAAAAAAAGAAAAAAATTATATAAGGTGTCCATACAGGCCCCCAAACACAGTTGTAGAAGAGGACATAACTCTCACCAAATCATTGGAGGCCCCCAAAGAAGAACAGAGGCCATGAATCACCTGGAAACTTCTCTGCTCTTTTCTCACTGGGCAATTCCGTTAAAAGAAAAAGATCTCCCCACCTGCAGGGTCTTGGGCTGCCCCCTACTCCCCTGAAGCTGTGGAATATAGTTCTTCCAGAGCTGTGCAACCGTGTCTTAAGTCTTATACTCCAAGACTGCTAGGCATCTACCTCTATAGGCCAGGAACATCTTGTTGGGGTGATCGTCTTGTTTGTAGGTCTTTAACAAGCTGCCTTCTAGCTTCTGGGCTAGGGGCACATCTGTGAACACTGAAAAGGTGGGCATAACTGAGATGAGGATGGAGCCAAGACTGTGTCTCTTGCTCCCGTGCTCTTCCCTGCTACTGTCTGGAAGTCCTCCTCCAAGCCTGGGCCCAGTGGTCCTGCCTCAGCTCAGAGCCCTGGCAGCTCTGATGCAGAGACTCTGGACAACTGGTTGTCAGAGCAACAGAACCTCAAATGCTCAGGCTTTGTGTGGCGGTCCTCAGGGGCCACAGGAACATTCCATGGCACTTGAGGAGAATCCCCTGAAAGAGTAGGTGGAGCAGAGGGGTGGGGGAGGACACAGAATCCCCAGGCACTTTTCTCTCATTTCTCTTCTCTGGCCCCAATTAGGTCAGTCTAAAATAACAAGCCAGCCACTTAGAAGGGAGGACAAGGAGAGATCATTACTGGGAACACTGCACGTTATTTGGGTGACGGATACCCTGAAAGCCCTGACTTTACCACTAAACAACCTATGCATGTAACAGAATTACATTTGTACCCCATTCATTTATACAAATAAAAAGAGATGAAGATATGGCAAGGCAGGCAGCCAATGAGCCAGATAGGAATAGAAAGCACTGTTGTTGGGTGCGGTGGCTCACACCTGTAATTCCAGCACTTTGGGAGGGGAAGTGAGAGAATTGCTTGAGCCCAGAGGTTCGAGACCAGCCTGGACAACTTGGCGAGATCCTGTCTCTATAATAAATCAAAAAATTAGCCAGTGGTGGCACGTACCTGTGGTTCTAGTTACTTGGAAGGCTGAAGTGCAAGGATCACCTGAGCCCAGCAGGTTGAGGCTACGGTGACCATGAGCATGCCACTGCACTCCAGTTTGGGAAACAGAGTAAGACTCGGACTCAAAGAAAGAAACAAAGAAAGCACTGTTTCTTCCACATTTATTTTAATAAAAGACCTATGATTAGAAATAACAAAATTTGCAACTCAGTAAGCCAGTCCTAGTTCTCTCAGTTATCTAGAGTCAAGATTTCTACATTTGTTATCAATTCAATGATGGCCAGCCAGCAAGTGTAGACAGCAGAGGTCTGGAGGGGGAGAAAATTGGCTTCTATAGAATCAGTCAGCATTTTGCTATTTTATATTATTTTATTTTTATTTTTATTTGACAGGGTCATACTCTGTTGTCCAGGCTGTAGTGCAGTAGCACAATCATAGCTCACTGCTGTGTCCAACTACTGGACTCAAGTAATCCTCCCACCTCAGCCTCCCAAGTAGCTGGGGCTATGTGTGTGTGCCACCACACTTGGCTAATTTTTAATCTTTTGTAGAGACAAAGTCTTGCTGTGTTTCCCAGGTTAATCTCAATCTCCTGACCTCAAGAAATTCTCCTGCTTTGACCTCTCAAAGTGCTAGGATTATGGGTGTGAGCCTCCACACCCAACCAAATAACTCTTATTGTGGACATTGACATCTCGCCCAGATACCCTTCACCAGTCATGTGCCTGTCCCCAGCTACTGCTTTGGTGGATAAGGCTTAGATATTTACCTTCCCTTGGCAGGCAGGAGCGACCGCACCTGGAAACCACCTGGAAAGTTATATCCCCATCAACAGGGCAGCCAATGACTGCCTGACTTAGGCATACAAGAGGCAAGCACCCTTGTCTTAGGTATTTCTGTGGCTCAGTTTACACTCCAAGGCCCACTCCCAAATCAGGCCAAGACTAGACCTGACCTGAGGACATATCCCAGCTTGCCTCCTTCCCTTCACAACCCTGCTTCCCTCGCTCCTCATGAAGGGCGCTCCTTCCCTAAATCACCTGCCCTGAACCCCTGGCTCAGGCTATGCTTCCAAAAAAACTTTGTTGAGGCAAATGATTATGAAAGAAGTCCATGTTATTGTAGAAAACTCTCAAACTTCAAAAAGGTATCATGAAGAACACAAATTTCCTACAATCAATTGATAATCACAGTCTCTGTGGGTCTCCATCTAGTTTCTTTTCTACAATGTATATCTTTTAAATTAATTGATATCAATACCTACCTGTCATTTTCATCATACTTTCTTCCTTTAATATGTCAGCTGCAGCCAGGTGTAGTGGCTCATGCCTATAATCTTAGCACTTTCAGAGACTAAGGTAGGAGGATTGCTTGAGGCCAGGAGTTCAAGACCAGTCTGGGCAACATAGCAACAGCAAGACCCTGTCTCTACAGAAATTTAAAATAAAAAAACTAGCTGGGCTTGATGGCATGCACCTGTAGTCCCAGCTTTCCCCTTCCACCATGTGAGGACACAGCAAGAAGGCACCATCTTTGAAGCAAAGGGCAGCCCTCACCAGACTTCAAATATGCTGGTACCTTGATCTTGGACTGCCCAGACTCCAGAACTAGGAGCAATATATTCTTGGGGAAGATGCTCATGAAGGGAGTAATGTGTTATCTCTGGAGAGTGAGACTGGGTCGCTGGCAGACAGGAAGGAAGAAGTCTGACTTGCTTTTTACTGCATACCACTTAGTACCTTTTAAGCGTTAAGCCATGTGCATAGATTCCTCATTCAAACGCAGTGTTTGTGATTTTTTTAAATGGCTGCAACTTCTTCAGGTATGACATCCTTACTATCCAGAGGAAGTGAAAGGGTCATTTCTCCTGGCTCCCTGGAAGAATGTGGAAGTTTCTTTGTCCTTCCCTGAAGTTCTTAGCTACCTTTATCCTTTCTCCTTGACTTCAGCTGAGTCACTGGCCTATCCCTGATCTTATCATGGCTGAGAATGTGGTACTCATGTCTGTTTAAACCATCCACCTAGACAAAACCATTTGTCAATCCCTCCCAAACTGCACAGCCAAGAAGGGCACACCCCAAAAGGCATTTCAGGTCTTCTTAGGCATGGGGAAAGGGAGAAGGGACATTAGGAATGTAGCAGGCAAGTGTTCCCTGTATTATCCATTCCAAATTCTGCAAGACCATCACTTTTAACAGCTATATTTTGTGTTGTTGGCCTTGTATTTCTAAACCTGCTAAACACTGCAGGGTTCCCATTACAGTCTCAGCAGCAGTGGGGAGCAGGGAAGAGATTTTTCAGCCCTACCCCAGCCTATGTAGAGTGGAGGAGGGGAAGAAGTAGGAGGATGGATTTTTTTTTTTTTTTCTTAAAAAAAATTTGGGCTGGGCATGGTGGCTCATGTCTATAATCCCAGCACTTTGGAAGACCGAGGTGAGAGGATTTGCTTGAGCCCACGGGTTCAAGACCAGCCTGGACAACTTGGTGAGAACTCATCTCTACAATAAATCAAAAAATTAGCTGGGCATAGTGGTGCATGCCTATAATTTCAGCTACCTGGAAGGCTGAGGCAGAAGGATCACCTGAGCCCAGCAGGTCGAGGCTGCCATGACTATGACCGTGAGCGTACCACTGCACTCCAGCCTGGGTAACAGAGTGAGACTTCAATTAAAATAAAAATAAAAATTTGACATTCAGGCCAATATCTTTTTCTACATACACAGGACTGCTGGCCTCACCTAGTCTTCCCCAGTTGTCTCTAGGCATTTCTGTGGATTCCTGCATGACCTTGGGAATAATATCCTCAAGTTCATGTCATCCCATCCCCCTCATAGACATTAGCTTCTCAGGAAGTCACTTGGTACTGGCCACCACCAGGACAACAACATGACATCAGTGTTGCTGCCCAGGGTACATTCTTCCAAAGTCCCTATGGGCACAAACTCCCACTCCCAGATGCCAGCACATGCTTGTGATGCCCAGAGTTCCCTAAAAACAGTCCCTTCAGCTCTTTCCTGCCTCTCTTCTTGCCACAGGACTTAGACATGAGACCCCCTTAACTAGAGCCTCATGGGATAACAGACAGAGTAGGGTCTTTGGTGCCAGGCATCTCTGTTCCTTCCCTTAGTACCTATATGACCTAAGGCAAGTCACTTAAAATCTCTCCACCTCACTGTGTGCATTTTTAAATGGGGGTAACAAACATTACAGAATTGTATGAGGTTTATGAAAATGGGCATGTCCCTTGGGTTGTTACAAAGAGACAGAAACTACAAAACTGAAGTCCAAGTTTTGACTATAGAATTTATAGTGTAGGACACTTGGAAGGTCCCCAAAATAAAACAGATGTTCAAACAAACTAAGTCTTTACATTTTTCCCCCAGAAAATTGCAAACTTATAAGTAATGCCTATGTTCTGAAAATAGGAGTTGGCTGCTAAAATGAAATAACCCCATAGGGCTTCACGTGGCCCCTCTTAGGCTCAGTCAAGGAGGTCAACAGATAAAGGAAAGAGGCCAGGCATGGTGGTTCACGCCTATAATCCTAGTACTTTGGGAGGCCAAAACTAGCTGGGCGTGGTAGCGCACGCCTATAGTTCAGCTACTTGGAAGGCTGAGGTGGAAGGATCACCAGAGCCCGGCAGGTCAAGGCTGCGATGGCCAGGAGCGTGCCCCTGTCCTCCAGTCTGGGCAACAGAGTGAGACTCCAACTCAAAAAAAAAAAAAGTTTTTTTTTAAATAAAGTAAGTTCCCATGGAAGAATAGGGGAGAAATGTGCTCTTATCAGTTGATCAAAGAGCTCACTCCGTTGCTAGGAACATGAATCATGGCACTTTATGGCCATGACCACAAAACTGTGGTATGAGCTCTGGACAATTGCATGTTGTTTCCCTCCCCAACTTTTCTAAATGGGAGACTTGACAGAAATTTTCCTCCCAGCATAGTACATTAGGTATATCTGGGAGTGTTTAAACTCATTCTTAGTCCATAAACTGTAGTATCATGAATAGCCACTTTCAGATAAAGAGAAATACACCTCACCCAGAGATCCCAAACTCTGGGCTGGATGTTGGATGTGACCTTGGGTTGTTCCCTTTGGGAATGAGAGAGGGAGCATTTAGTTGCATATGGAAAAATTGCATTATGTTAGGTAAGGCCATTCTTGAAGTTACATATATGGGGTAAAGAATATTCCAGCCACAGCATGGAAGGTGGTTTTTTACTAAGTTCACCCAGAAGCCCTCTTCGTACTCCCTCTGTAATAAACCCTTCCCCTTCCCCAACTTTTGTCCCTGAACTCTGAGTCACAGTGTGTATTAGTCCATCCCTGCTGCTATAACAAAATACCTTAGACTGGGTAATTTTACAAACAATTTTATTATT